GGTTCCTAGTAAGGCCGCCTTTTGCAATTGACTGATGGCGAATTTGTCAATGCCGATGATGGTGTCCAAGTGGTGCTCCAGTTGTTTTGGGATTGCACCCAAGGCGCCTATTACTATTGGTACTACCCTTGCTTGCCTTTGCCACAGTCTTTCTGTTTCTATTTGTAGGTCTTTGTATTTTGTGATCTTCTCCAGTTCTTTCTCGTCTGTTCTGCTGTCTCCAGGCACTGCCACGTCCACTATCCAGACTTTTTTGTCTTTCTTATCGACAATTGTTAAGTCCGGGGTGTTATGTTGCAGGTGCTCGTCTGTTTGAATTCTGAAGTCCCAGAGCAGTTTAACTTTATCATTTTCTATGACTTTCTCTATTTTATGATCCCACCGGTTCTGGCTTACAGGCAAATGATATTTCTTGCAGATCTTCCAATGCACCCTTGTTGCTACTTTATTATTATTATTATTATTATTATTATTATTATTATTATTATTATTAATAATAATAATAATAATAATAATAATAATAATAATAATAATAATAATAATAATAATAATAATAATAATTAGACATGAACCTCAGTCAACTGAACATTCAAATTGGCTGGCGCTGACGGTTGACACGGGTTGCTACCAGCATCCTAGGTGTCAACCAGGTACCTCCTTAGAATGTAAGATGTTCCGAGTAGTGCAGTTTTTTGTAGCATTGCTGGAGTTATTGCAGGAAGCTGCAGTTTCTTGATGCATTTTGCAGTGTTTTTGGACACAGTTCCCAGTGCCCCGATGACAATGGGTACCACTGTTACACGTTTCATCCACAATCGCGCAGTTTCGATGGCCAGGTCGCGATATTTCATCATTTTTTTCTTCGACTCTGGCATCTCCTGGTACAGCGATATCAATCAGCTGTACGCTTCAGTTCTGTACAACTGCGATATCTGGCGTGTTGTGTTCCAAATGGCTATCGGTCTGTATTCAAAAGTCCCACAAGATCTTCACTCTCTCATTCTCAACAATTTTTTCCACCCTAGGTTCCCACGGCTTTTCGGACACAGGCAGGTCGTATTTTTTACGCAATGCCCAGTGGATTAATTTAGCAACTCGGTCATGTCTAGTTTTGTAGTCAGTTTGCGCGATTTTGTTGCACTCACAAATTAGATGTGAATAATAATAATAATAATAATAACAACAACAACAACAATAATGATAATCCTTTTTTCAGTGCCGTTGTAACTTCAAATAGTCACTAAATGAAGTATTGAAGTATTTTATTTTCTGATTTATTTTGTATTTTCTATTCTATTCTATTCTATTCTATTCCATTCCATTCCATTCCATTCCATTCTATTCCATTTCATATATTCTATTCTATTCTATTCTATTCTATTCCATATTTCTATTCCATATTCCATATTTCTATTCTATTCTATTCTATTCTATTCTATTCTATTCTATTCTATTCTGTTCTATCTGGGGAATTCTGGGAGTTGAATCCACAACTCTTAAAGTGGCCAAGGTTGAGAAAAAACAGCTCTTCTCAAAAACCTTGTGAGGCGCATTATACAATCCCAACATCCTTTCTTCAGGCCAGCCCAGCTTTGCTGTAACTCAGCAAGTGTCACAACTGGGCTCAGTTCATCAAGCTGCCTGTAACGGTGAGACAATTGCACAACCTGTGTTGTCACAAGAACCTCTCTTGACAAGCGAGCGTGGGATCACTTCCAGTCTTCCCACCCATTTGCATCAGGAATTTATCTATCACCACCTCCTCTGCACGTCTTGGGCTGTTTTTTACCTTCCAGGGTTCCAGAAGCATCCCACACAAACTCTTCCTTCGCAGGAAGTCCTCGGCTTACGACCGTTCATTTAACGACCGTTGGAAGATACGTCAGTCCTGAAAAAAAGTGGCTGGTCCTCACACCTACAACCATCACAGCATCCCATTAATGCCGACATCAAAATTCACCGGCCTGTGTTTACACGGTCGCAACATCCCAGGGGTCACGTGGTCGCACATTTGCGACCTTCCCAGACGGCTTCCGACACTGGGGACTTGCTTAATGACTGGAGGATTCACTTAGTGGTTACAATGATCCACTTTACGACCGTAGCTGTTTTATGACTCGTGGATTTCAACTGCCAGAATTCCTGAACCAGCCATGTTGAGGGGAAAGGCAGAGGTTTCCAAGTTGAGCCATGCTGGCTGAGGAATTCTGGGAGTTGAAGTCCACGAGTCATCAAGGGAGCCATAGTCCCCCCATGCTGGCTCAGGAATTCTGGGAGTTGAAGTCCAGGAGTAATAAAAGAGCAACTAAGATGATTAAAGGCCTGGAGACCAAAACATGGGAAAAACGGTTGCAGGATTTGGGAATGGCCAGTCCAGAGAAAAAGAAGTATTGGGGGTGGGGACATGATAGCAGTCTTCCAGTATTTGAGGGGCTGCCCCAAAGAAGAGGGGGGTCAACTTATTTTCCAAAGCACTGTTGGAAGAAAAACCTTTCATCAGGGTCCAGTCCAAGCCGGGAATAATCAAAATGGAGACTGCTTTAGAAAGAAGGTTTCAGTTTATTGAAGAGGACAGACAGCCAGACAGACAGAATTCAGAATTCAGAATAGAATAGAGCTGGAAGGGACCTTGGAGGTCTTCTAGTCCAGCCCCCTGCTCAAGCAAGATGGCTCTGGGAAAAAGTGACCACGTAGCAGGGAATTGTGGGTTTTTATACCTTCTTGGGCTTTTGTTTGGAGTTGTTCCTGTGGTGTGGACTTGGACCGGAGTCTGAGTCTGCCTTTCTGGTATTCTGATGGTGGTGGGTTAATCCTATTGTGTCCCAAAGGTCATATCCTGCTTCCCTGGGGCTGTGGCTGATGGCTATGTCCTGTGTTGGGTTTTTTGGTCTGAGTGATTGTTGATTCTAGGGATCTTTGTCTTTCTAATCCCATCAGCTTCCTGGCTCCCATCTTTCTGACAACATTATCACATATGCATTTCTGCAGACCTGGTTTCTGTTTGGGGCAGAGAGACTGGGTGGGGGGGGTTAGGGTTGGTTTCTGCCTCCGAGGTCCCTTCCAGCTCTCTTCTGATTACATATTTGTCTGAAACGGTCTAGGGTCTCCTGCTTGAGCAGGGGGGTTGGACTAGAAGACCTCTAAGATGCCCTTCCAGCTCTCTTCTGATTAAGATACTCCCCCCCCCCAAATTGGCTCATGCCGCAGCGGTTATAAGTGTGAGGACTGCTTTGTAAGTCGCCAGTCTTAAGGTGGCCAAGTTTGGAAACCCTGGTCTAAAGCAACACATAATGTCGATAAAACTCTTTAAGTATAATGGTATAATGAGAAAAGAACTGAAATATAGGAAATGATGGAATTAATTATTGGAGATTTGGAGAAATAATGAAAAACAATAGAAGATTGGTGAGAAAGAGAAGAATTTACCTTTGGAGTTAATAATGCTTAAATAAAAAAACACTTGGGGCACCTGAATAGTAAATGAATATGTTAGTTTAAGATTAAATATTTGTAAAATTAAGAAAGCATGATACAGGATCTTTGAGTGATATATTCAATGAAAATTTGTTTTAGAAAGGTTTTAATGAGTTTATAATAATATAAATAGCTAGAGAATGTTACTTTATTTTTAATTATATGATTTGGATGAAATGTTATATTAGTGAATGAATTGGTTTTAGATATTGACTTGATTATAATGTCTTTAAATAAATGGAGTTCACTAAGCCTAAGTTAAATGTGAGAAGAAATATAGGTTTTTATAGATTAATTTTTTTTCCTATTGATTAATGTAGTTGATGGTTAGACATAGTAATGAATGAATTCAATGAAAATGTATTAATCTGATTATAATATTCTATAGAGATAGAGAGGGAAATTTTAAAGAAATAATAGGTATGTATTTACTATGTTATTGTTTGTTTTTAAAAAATGGATCACCACATTTCCACGTGGGTTCTTAGGCTGTGTTGGTGTAAAATGGAAAACCAATAAAAATTGTTTTGGTAAAAAAAACAAAAACTCTTTAAGTCAGTTTATATGTCCCTACTGGGATTGTGTAATGCGATTGTGGGTCGTTTCAGAGAGGGGGAAAAACAAAAACCACTTTTACTCAATCTGGGTCATTAGGAAGCCGTAGGCTAAAGATTTCAGCAAAAAGAATGCAACTGCCAAGTAATTTGTCGGTTTTTGCCTTCTTAACTCTTGTCGCCCTCTGGAAAGACACGTCAACACAAAGGACCTGCTTGAAATTCAGCATTTCTTTCGAGAGGAATGTCACTTAAAACAGGATTTATTTTGGTCAGGGGGGGGGAAACGGACCGCCCTCGGCGTGTTCAGTTGCGAAAGGGCCTCTTCTCCCCCCAAATAATATATTTCTCAATCCGCTTCCTCCGTGTTCGCAGGAGAAGGGATCTCCAGGCAGTCCTCGACTTACGACTGTTCGTTTAGTGACGGTTCGAAGTCACGACGCCACTGGGAAAAAAAGCGACTTAGGACCGTTGGTCGGAATTGCCAGCTCTGCAGCCTCCCCCGTCGTGGTCCCGTGATCGAAATTCGGACGCTTGGCCGCCGGTTCATATTTACGACGGCTGCCGTGATCCCCTTTTGTGGCTGGATTCATTTAAGGACCGGGTTGCTAACAAGTCAACTGCAGTGATCCGTTTAACAACCGAGGCGAGGAAGATCGTGAACAGGGGGCAAAACTCACTTCGTAAATGTCTCGTTTAACCACGGAGGTTTTTGGGGCTCCCTTGCGGTCGTAAGTCGAGGACTGCCTACACAACGATAGGACTCCCGATCCAATGACAGTTGTGATCATTTCCCCTTTGCCTCTTCCGTTGCCTGGAGGATTCCCGGAGGCGGAATTCGTACATCTCTGGATCTTTTGGTGCCGACGTGTTCTTCATATCCACTCACCCCACCCTGCTTTCGAAGAAAACGGGGGGGGGGCTCCTCTCGTTGAGGACTAGCAACATGCACAGGCCGAACAATCCAGGGTCCTAGATGGTGGTGCTGTTTTCTATCTCGGGGGGATAGAGGTAAGTGTAAGGCAGCGGGAGGGTCTTATTCCGGCTCTCGATGGCCAAGGTGATGTGCTTGAGATGCTCCTGAAAAGCGCCGATGAGCCGCTTCGGGCCTTCCTCCACAAAGTGCTCCTCCTCGTAGTAGCCCAGCGGTTTCTGCAGAAGCAGAAGAGAATCACAGAGTAAGAACAGAGCTGCGAGGGACCCCGGAGGTCATCGCTGAGAGCAAGCCACTTGGAAGGCCCTGGGAGAGCAAGCAACTAAATTTCGTTTTTAATGGGTGCCATTGTGCCCACGATAAAAAATGACAATAAAGGTTGTCTGTCTGTCTATCATCCATCCATCCGTCCGTCCGTCTGTCTATCTCTATCCTCTCTCTCTCTTTATCTATCTATCTGTCTCTATCTATCCTCTCTCTCTCTCTAAAACATATAAGGAACGGTTGCTGGAATTGGGGATGTCTAGTTTAACGAAGAGAAGGACGAGGGGGGACATGATAGCAGTCTTCCAGTATCTCAGGGGTTGCCATAAAGAAGAGGGAGTCAAGCTATTCTCCAAAGCGCCTGAAGGCAGGACAAGAAGCAACGGGTGGAAACTCACCAAGGAGAGAAGCAACCTGGAACTAAGGAGAAACTTCCTGACGGTGATAACAATTAACCAGTGGAACTACCTGCCTCCAGAAGCGGTGAATGCTCCAACACTGGAAGTTTTTAAGAAGAGACTGGACAGCCATTTGTCTGAAATGGTGTAGGGTTTCCTGCCTGAGCAGGGGGTTGGACCAGATGACCTCCAAGGTCCCTTCCAACTTTATTATTATTATTATTATTATTATTATTATTATTATTATTATTATTATTATTATTATTATTATTATTATTATTATTATTATTATTATTATTATTAAAAAACGGGGGGAGGCTCACCATGTCCAGGGTCTCGTTCCGCAGCACCCAGAGGACGGAGAGCACCTGGCTGGTCACGTTCATCTCCGGGATGGTGTCCAGGAATTCCTGCAGGGTGACGGGGGTCTTCGCCTGGGGAGGGGGCTTCCGCATGGACGAAGGCAGGTTGGGCATGAAGGCCCCCATCTCAAACTTCCGCCCGGAGAGAAGGAGGAGAAGAGCGTGAGACGGGGGCATCTCCCCCCCCGGAAGGGAGAGAGAAACATCTGGCCTGCCTTTTCATCCTGGTTGATTTTCCACGTGCAGGAAAATTAAGATAATAAAATGCCCAACAAGGAAATACTGTGCAGGGAGTCCTCGAAAGAAAGGAGGGAGGGATGAAGGAAGGAAATGGGAGGGAGGGAGGGAGGGAGGAAGGAAAGAAGGAGATTGGAATAAGGAGGGAGGGAGGGAGGAAGGAAATGGGAATAAGAAAGGAAGGAGGGAGGGAGGAAGGAAGGAAATGGGAGGGAGGGAGGGAGGAAGGAAGGAGATTGGAATAAGAAAGTGAGGGAGGGAGGGGAAAAGGAAGGAAGGAGATTGGAATAGGAAGGGAGGGAGGGAGAAAGGAAGGAAGGGAGGGAGGGAAGAAGGGAGGGAGGGAGGAAGAGAAGAGGTGGAGGGAGGGAGGGAGGAAGGAAGGAAGGGAGGGAGGGAGAGAAGGGAAGGAGAGAAGGGAGGGAGGAATGGAAGGAAGGAAGGAAGGAAGGAAGGAGATTGGAATAGGAAGGGAGGGAGGGAGAAAGGAAGGAAGGAAGGAAGAAAGGAAGGAGATTGGAATAAGAAGGAAGGAAGGAAGGAAGGAAGGAAGGAAGGAAGGAAGGAAGGGAGAATTGACCTGATCCTGCTCGCAACCAGCCCCCTTCCCCCCCCTCCTGGGGGAGACCCCGAGTAGCCTCACCCACCTGCCCTCCGTTGACGGCCGCGTGGTGAGCTGAGCAGGTGAAGACGGTCATGGTCAGGTACTTGATGAGGTCCGGGACGGTGTGGAGGGCGGAAGGGACGCCTGGAAGGAAAGGGGGAAAGTTCGGCCCAGCTGAGATTCCCCAGGGGAAAAAGGGAAGGGAGACCAAGCCGCGATGCAGAGGGAGGGAGGGAGGGAGGGAGGGACCCCCACATGTTCCCTGCTCAACCCATCTCAGGAGTTCTTCCAGTCCTCACTCGAGGTCCCACATGATTCCCTCCCATTTTGAAAGTATTTTACGGCGGTCGTTAAACGAGTCCTACCGTCGTAAGTCTGACAAGGTGTTGGAGAAGGACGACGAGAAAGATACGAAGGCATAGGAAGAAAACACCGTACAGGGAGTCCTCGTTTAGTGACCGTTCAAATTCAACAGCACTAAAGAAATGTGACTTATGACCATTTTTCACAGGTACGACCATTTTTCCCGGGGTCACGTGATCCAAATCCAGGCGCTTGGCGACTGGCTCGTACTTATGACGGTTGCAGCATCCCGTGTGTGTGTGTGTGTGTGTGTGTGTGACGTGATCCCCTTTGGACAAGCAAAGTCAAGAGAGAAGCCGGAGTCACTTAACAACCAGGTTACTAACTTCACAACTGCAGTGATTCGCTTAACGACCGCGGTAAGAAAAGTCGTAAAATGGTGCAAAATTCGCTTTTTAAGCAGCGTCTCGCTTAGCGACAGAACATTTGGACCGCAGCTGTGGCCGGAAACCCAGGACCACCTGTATTCGTTTAGTGCCCATTCGGAGCTGCGACAACACTGAAAAAAGGGACTTGTGACACTTAGGATACTCGTAGAATCCTCAGAGTTACGTGATCGAAATTGGGGTCCTTGGCAACCGACGTGTACCGTGTCCGGTGGGATTGCCCTGTCCTGGGTCACACAATCCCCATTTCCCACCTTCCCAGCCGGCTTCTGATGAGCAAAGTCACAGGAAAAGCCTGCTTCACTTAGCAACCGACCGATTCTCCTAATTGTTGCGGTGTTTCGCTTAACGACCGTGGGGGGGAAAGGTCCTAACATGGGACAAAACTCACTGGATCCGTTTTTCGGTGCAGTTGCAACTCGGAACGGTCGCTAAAGGAACGGAGGAAAGCCGAGGACGGCCCGTTTTCTACAGAGTGGAAAGGAGGCCACCAGGAAAGGGTGGAACCAAACTTTCCAAGAGGGGGATGTACCTGAGGTCTCTCTGCTCAGGAAGCCTTTGGCGAAGATCTCGGCCACCCAAGACTGCAGCTCGTCGTCTCCCTGCACCTCTGAGTCGCTCTTGTAGTAGAGTCCCACGATGCCCGAGACGAAGCTGCGGGGAGGGAGGGGAGAAGAGGAAGAGGAGGGTCTGTCCCAGCCAAGGGGGCTTCGCTGCCGGCTCCTTTTCCCCACCCAAGCAGTACGGAAGGTTAGGGTGGGGAGGGGTCCCTGGGGCTCTCTCAGCTTGTTTCATGACCCAACTAGGGAACATCCTCAGTGCTAGAAGGGAGGGGGGATTGCGGAGAGGAGGAGGAGGAGGAGGAGGAGGAGGAGGAGGAGGAGGAGGAGGAGGAGGAATGTGGGGTCCTGGGTGCCCTCTGAGCTGGGTGGTTTCCTTGCAGACGTTTCATGACCCAACATGGTTACATCATCAGTGCTAGAAGGGAGAGGAGGAGGAGGAGGAGGAGGAGGAGGAGGAGAGTGACTGAGGGGTCCTTGGTGCTCTCTGAGCTGGGTGGTTTCCTTGCAGACGTTTTATGACCCAACTAAATAACATTATCAGTACTAGAAGGCGGTGGGGGTTTGTGGAGTAGAGTAGAAGCAGGAGGAGGAGGAGGAGGAGGAGGAGGACGACGACGACGACTGTAGGGTCTCTATTGTGCTCTCTGAGCTCAGTTGTTTTCTTGCTGTTGTTTCATATCAGTGGTGGCGAAACTATGGCACGAGGGCCAGAGGCGGCACTCTGACCCCTTTTTGTGGGCACGCATGCCATGCCCCAGAGATGGCAACCGTCCCTCTTCAACCAGCCGCCCAAGGTCCCACGTGGCCAGATGCATCCCGGCTGGCGGCGGGCTGTGGAGCCCCAGAGTGCACCGGTCGAGTAGCCGTCAGGCTGTGGCTGCTGATGGAAGCCGGCGGCCCCCATGCGCTCGCTGGCCTCTGTGTGCGGGGGCCGATGGTGTCAGGCAGCAGCCGCCCCGGCCCCTGCCTCGCCTTGCCCTGCGGCAATGGCACCCCAGCCTTGCCTCACCTCACTCCGCAGGATGAACCTGCTGTCCATCGCCCCACCTGTCAGAGACCCCCTGGATCCCCCCCAACCCTGCCCACAGGCGTCCCTCCCCCATGAGCAACATCAAGGTGACCATGCCCACTTTGGCCACACCCACCCAGTCTGCCATGACCACCACAGCCACGCCCACCCAGCGGGCCACGTCCCACCTGGCACCCGGCGATAAATAAGTGGGTTTTGGGTTGCAGTTTGGGCACGCGGGTCTCTAAAAGGTTCGCTATCACTGTTTCATACGTAAAAAGAGAGCACACCCACCCCCTTCTAGCACGGATGGCGTTCCCTAGTTGGGTCATGAAACGTCTGCAAGGAAACCACCCAGCTCAGAGAGCACCAAGGGCCACACAGTCCTTTCCTCCACTACTACTACTACTACTACTACTACTACTACTACTACTACTACTTCTTCTTCTTCTTCTTCTTCTTCTTCTTCTTCTTCTTCTTCTTCTTCTTCTTCTTCTTCTCCTCCTCCTCCTCCTCCTCCTCCTCTCCACAAACCCCCCTCCCTTCTAGTACTGATGACGCTCCTTAGTTGGGTCATGAAACGTCTGCAAGGAAACCACCCAGCTCAGAGAGTACCAGGGACCCCTCATTTCAACCTTGAGAGCCTCCAGACGCAGCGACGGGGTCGAAACCCATGGCTCCAAGCCTCTTGCGTGAGACTCGAATCCACCACCCTCGCAACTCCCCATTAATCAGGCTAAACTGTGATGGTGGAGGATCCTGGCTGGTTTGTAGACCCCTTCCCAAGCAGCCTGTTCATAACAGCTGTTCCCCAGTTCAGGGCCCTACTCAGCTCTCCGGCCGAGCTCCTTCACCTCTGGATGGCGTCCCAGATCTTCAGGCCATCGTCCCTGTAGTAGTACTGGAGGAGGCAGCCCACCCCCCGGGCTTCGATGTCATCCGGAAGGCAAAGCTGGGTGTAGGTCAGTTCTGCCAGGGCTTTTTCGAGCAGCACCGCTAGTCCCTGGCGCCCGGTGCCAATGGCCTGTGAAAAGAAAGCAGAGTTGGGAATGGATCTTTTGAGGTCCTCTAGTCCACCCCCTTGCTTAAGCAGGTGACCCTAGTCCATTCGGGACAAATAGCTGTCCAGTCTCTTCTTTAAAACTTCCAGTGTTGGAGCATTCACCGCTTCTGGAGGCAGGTAGTTCCACTGGTTAATTGTTCCAACTGTCAGGAAGTTTCTCCTTAGTTCCAGGTTGCTTCTCTCCTTGGTGAGTTTCCATCTGTCGTTTCCTGTCCTGCCTTCGGGGGCTTTGGAGAAGAGGTGGACCCCCTTCCCCCTCTTCTTTGGGGCAGCCCACCAAGCCCATCATGCTGAGCCCAGATGTTCCCCAGTCTTACCTTATCAAAGGTGCCACCTTGGCTGATGAGGTAGGTCCTCGCCAACACGTTGATGTGGATGGAATAACGCAAGTGGGGGATCAGAAGCTGGAGCAGGGAAGGAGGAGGAAACCATGGTTACTTGAGCTAACCACCATTGGGGGGAACGCTTGTCCTCTCCCGCCCTTTGAAGGCCCCACCCAGCCCGCCTCGGGATTCCCACCTTGTACAGGGGGTGGCACATGGGGAGGGTCCTCAGGGTGGCCACCGAGAAGATCTCGGACATCAGGTGGCCGCGCAGCAGGTGGGCGATGTCCTCGTGGGTGTGGAACTCGGCGTTTCGCACCCAGGTCTTGGCTAAGGTCCACAGCCACTCCTCGTCGGTGGGCAGGAAGATGGGACTCTGAGGACCAGGATGCTGGCTGAGCTGAGGGGGAGACGGGGAGGAAGAGGTTGGGACCGGCTGAGGGACAAAGCGGGACGTTCAGCTTGGAGAAGACCTCTTCTCCATGCCTCGCTGAGGAATTCTGGGAGTTGAAGTCCACCAGTCATAAAGGGGTCATAGTTCCCTCACACTGGCTGGGGAATTCTGGGAGTTGATGTCCACCAGTCATCAAAGGGTCATAGCTCCCTCACGCTGGCTGAGGAATTGTGGGAGTTGAAGTCCACCAGTCATAAAGGGGTCATAGTTCCCTCACACTGGCTGAGGAATTCTGGGAGTTGAAGTCCACAAGTAAATCAAAGGGTCATAGTTCCCTCACGCTAGCTGAGGAATTCTGGGAGTTGAAGTCCACAAGTCATGAAGGGACCATAGTTCCCTCACGCTGGCTGAGGGATTCTGGGAGTTGAAGTCCACAAGTCATCAAAG